AGAAACATGCTACAGGGTGAAAATGGCAGGGTGCAGGGTGAAAAAAACAGGTTTTCGAAGGGTGAAAAAAAAAGGTTCCACAGGGTGGGGAAAAATGATTTTTGAGGGTGAAAAAAGAAGGTTTCGAGGGTGGGAAAAAAAGGGAGGGTGAAAAAAACATTGTTGAAGGGTGAAAAAAAAAGGGAGCCCTTTAGAAAATCATATATTGTTCTTGTCCACTTTGGCACCTGTCATCTTCTTGGACCTTGGACTTCATGCCATTGTACAAGAAACTTTCTGTACTTTGTAGCTTTTGAACAACTATCCAATGACTTCCAAACACGTACAAGTCTAACATATATTGAGATCATGCAACGTAACTGCGCACATCTACGCACCTGTTTTCCCTTACACAAACAACTTTCCCCCAAACCCTGGACATGGAACACACACAGCAGCCGCCTTGGTTCAGCACCAAGCAGCCGCCTTGAATGACGTGCGCCAGCTCGTGCGCGAAGGTGTTGGCCACTGCATAGGGGTTGGGATTCCTGAATGCACAAGGTCGCGTTCGTCTTGAAGAGGACTGAATTGAAGGCACCAGAAGTTCCATTTTTGAGGGTTGCCGTGAGCGGTGATCATCTGAAATGCATCCCTTGGAGGTCTGTGTTTCACACCGCTTGGCAGCGAGATGAGAGTCGTTCCTGAGTTCTTCATGATGTCATCGATGTTTATCAAAATAAAACAGTCAATATGTTCATCACCTATGAATGGGTTGGTGGGAGTAAATCTATTGATGTTGATCCAAGATGATCCAAGATCCAATGGTGTTCCAAATAGTTCTATCATGTTCCATCATGTCCCATCATGTCCAGGTCATCCCGTGACATGTTCTCTCAGAATCTCCAGGTGTGATCGAGCACTGTAGTCAGTGAGAATGGAAACATCATATATTGGAAACCAATTCCAATAATTAACCATTAAGTAATATCAGATAGATTCAGAACATAAAAATCTGTAATCATTCCAACTGTTGCTTACAGCAATGCATGTCAACCTTCCATCATAGACTATTGGAAACGTCATGTGTTACCAATTGGACTCCTGCACTGCAGGTGCTTGGTGAAGGTCCCATCTCTAACTTCGCCCCCTCGCATTGCTTCGGCAGAGGTGCCCATCCACCAACTCCTGGCAAAGGTAGAAGATGATGTCATTGTTGTTGTTCGATTTGTTGTTCACCTCGTGGACGGGTCTCAAAGTTTGCAGGCGGAATGGGGTCTCTCCCGCTGCAGCTGCAAGCTTTTGGCAAACATATACTTCCCTCAGATTCTTGGCTCAATTCCTAAATAATGACTTAAGGGCTTACGCCCAACAGCGGGCCGGGCAGGCAAGCAGGGCAGGTGCAGGCGTCAGGTACAGGCCTTGTACGGTGCAAGTGGCATAAGGTCCGAGATAACAACCCCCCCCATATGAGCGAGACGGGGCCGGGCCTCTTTCGCGCTCTCTCTCTCTCTCTCTATTTATCCTTTATCTTTATCTTCCTTTTTCTCTTTAATCTTTTTTCTCTAGCTCTTTCTCTTTCTCTTCCTCTTTCTCTTCCTTTTTCCCTTTCTCTTTGGGGTGGGTGGTGCAAAGAGCTGCCAACCCACCGCGGGGACGTCCTATACGCGGCGCTGGAAACTCGCAGGGCCACTGGGGAGGGAGAGCGTGGATGGATGCATTTGCTTTAAGAAACTCTAAGATGGATCAACATAGCCTCATCATAGCTCCAGGCTGGACATGTTGATGGCGGTGAGATCGTTTTCAATAGCCCGTGGTGCGAGATATGCTGCCCGAGTGGCCTTGCATTATTGGCATTTGTGCTCCTGCTTGCTCAGCTAGGAGTTCTGGGGGGCTGCGCGCGCAGTGAATTGAAATGCTGGA